ATAAAGAACATGTGTTAAAATACAAAATATTTCTAGTACATGAAAAATTGTCACCCTTTTAGGATATTTAAAACATATATAACTATAAATGTAAAGGAGTAAAGAACAGAATTTTGCTATTGTTTTTAATTTCCAGTAGAGTTTGATTGACTTTTTATTAACATTTTTAGCTTTTTGAGGATTTTTTTCATCTCTTAGACCTGATTCTATAAAAACAGACATATGTAAAAGGTCATTAGCTCTAATTTAAAAGGAGGGATTTTATTGAAATAAAATAAGGTAGAAATTCACTTATATAAAATGATATTTTAAATTAAGGAAGTAAGTCCCTCTCATGAAGGACCTAAACTTTGGAAGTGCTCTAAATTTTCTCTTTGTGCTTCCTAAATGAAATCTCTCTTTTTACCACCCCATAAATGCATTAATGTACACAGTTATGATTTAATAAAAAAATGAAGCAGAGAACAGCCAGCATGTGCACAGACATACACGCCACAGAGGTGTGGCCAAGATAATGGATTTGGTGCATATATCAAACAAAATTCTTCATAAAGAAAAAAATAAATAAAAAGAACTGTGACAGAAAATAAAACAAATAAATCAAGAAGGTAAAGAAATCTGTGCAATCTGTTATGCATTTTCTACGTTACACATCGTTATGCTGGGATCATATATTTCAAGGCTTTCCTATAGAAATATATCTGATATTTGGAATATTTGAATCTTGAGATTGACTGTTAAATTATATTTTTAAAATTGCATGTATTTTGCATTTAATTTGGGTAGATGAAAGCAAAAGTTTTTATAAAGCACCCTTCTCACAAACAATTTATTATGCTTAGTTATGTTGATCAATCTGAAAAATAGTTTATGTATTTGAAAGAGATATATTGCATTTTATTTCAGTTCAGGAAATAAATTGTTACTTTTCATTTAAATTTTCAGACAAGATATGGGATAAACTATTGTACTTTTATGAGCTTAGGGTCAGAAGGGTACAAATAACTTCACAAGCCTGCAAAAAGTTGATATTAACTTTTCACAAGTCATAGTAGCATGTGAAGTTGGTGTACAAGTAGAAGCATTCCTATTTATTTTAATCCGGTGAAGAAAACAGTCTTACTATATAGACGAGTGAGAAATTCATATTTTGTACTGTCTCTGATTTAAGCAATTTATACTTCTAAATAATCTGTTCAATTATATCACAGTATCCACCATTAGGGACAAAACAACTTTTATGAAACAGACTCTAGTTTTAAACATCTTGAAACAGAATAGTTAGGATTAGAGAAAAAGAATTTATTTCACTATATAATGCAAACACACACATATACACATGTTTTTGTTTTTTGGGGTTTTTTTTTTTTTTTCTGAGAAAGAGTTTTACTTTATTGCCCTCGGTAGAGTGCTGTGGCGTCACAGCTCACAGCAACCTCCAACTCCTGGGCTTAGACGATTCTCTTGCCTCAGCCTCCTGAGTAGCTGGGACTACAGGCAACTGCCACAACACCCAGCTATCTACTCATGTGTTTTACATTACACATAATTAAAGATCAAAAAGGAAATGCCCAGAGAATTTGAGGACTTCTGAGGTAATTCACAGTAGGGGCAGTTTTAATAGATTAAGGAAATCAACTGCTCTTATAAATGAAGTGATGGGGGGGCTCTCCCAGGGGGCTTTGATCAGGGACAGCACAGCTAGAACCAGGAATGGGAAGATTTGCACACAAGCCGCTCATTCACTGGGTTAAGTGAAGGGTGAGTTAGTCTGCCAGAGTTCCCGTTCTGGGTAACTATCTCTGGCATTTGTCTTTAGGTTAACAACAGAGAAATAGCTTGTTCAGAGAAGTGTGGGGTCTGTCTCCGGGAATGCAGTGTGGTCCTGAGTAGGGAAAGAGCTAGGAGTGATCAAGATGAAATTCAAAATTCAACACAATTTTGTTCAAATTTATTTTGTTTAAAAAACTTGAGACATTAAATATTTTCAACCAAAACAATTCCACTTATACCAATTTATTTCATAGAAACATTTGAATATACTTTCAAAGATATACAGACACACTCATAGATGGATGCTTTTTGTTGTTTGTTTTAACACAAGTTCTTACTCTATTGCTAGAGCTACAGTGCAATAAATAGTGTCATCCCAGCTGACTTGATGTGAGCCATCCTCCAACCTCACCTTCCCACATAACTGGGACTACTAGCTTGCACCACTACAGACTGCTAATTTTTTTTTTATGATTATTATTATAGGTACACAGGACATCTCACTATGTTGTTCAGGCTGGTCTTAAGTGATCCTCCCACCTTGGCTTTCCAAAGGATTAAGGGTGGCCATAAAGTCCATGTGCAATTGAAAATAGTAATTTATGGCCAACCTGTATGAGTTGCCTTGTCCCACTTGGTAAGTGTTAATTTAGCATTATTAATTTAGCAATATTTGGTAATATTTGAAAAACACAGGCAATCTAAACATTCATAAATGGGATAGCTAACGTAAGTATGGAAAATATTATAGCACTTAGAAATAAGGAAACTGATCAATATCTACTGAAATAGAACTACGTACATCATAGACTTTTGAGTATAAAACTCATATTGAAGGAAAATATAAAAATCTATACTCTTAAATTATATAAAAATATATTTATATACCTATCCAAAAAATATTTGTGGGTATATGAACACATTGTATATAGATGATAGATAAGAATGTATTAGTTTATATGTGTATATTAAATTTTTTAGGAAGATACACACAATCACAGTGGTAATTCCTAAGCAGTAATAGTGCTTATAGCAGGGCCTTTAACTTGTTTTCTAAATAATATCCATGGTAGTATGGACTCTTAATATAACACATAGAACTTTTATTTTTTAAATTATTAAAATAGAGTGGCGAGAAATAGGATGCCTAAAATTGAGAGAGTAAAGGAAATATGTCATGCAGGGATCATCACAAAGTTTTGAGATGCACAGCAATCAAGAAATGTGAAATTCCCCTGAATGGAAACAAAGGAAGCCCTTCCAGCAACACCGATAAGCCAAGTTGACACTTGCACAGGTCAATCAGAAAGTATGCCGTCAAGTGTATTTCTCGGAAGTGAAATAATGGAACAGTTTGTCTCAAAACTTTTGTAGTGACCATTGTATTTTAAAGGGTAGAGGGAAAAAAATGAAAAAACAAGGCTAAAATCAATGTTATTGCAGTACTTTCACTAGAGCTATAAATAGCCATTAGTAATTAACATTACATTTTTATATGCTTCGAGGCATCATTCCATTTAAATTCTCCACTTTTTTACGAGGCAGGCACTTTTCCTCATTTTGGAGATAAGACAATGAAGGCACACATTGGTTATGTTATAAAATTTGCAATTTTGCAGAGCAAATATCTACCCCCTCCCAAATTTAACTGTGGAAAACAGAGAAATCCTGGGTTTACTTGGTCTGGATGGGTTTAGAAAGGTCTTGGAATGGCTAAACTTTAGAATGCACAATTCCTTACTTCTACAAAACAAGAGCTACTTCTTTGAAATTCAGAGAAGATTAAAGGCCAAGAAAAAGCTCTCCTGATTGAGCTTCTGAATTAATACGAAGACTGTACTTTGGCATGGTTTTATGTCCAGTGGGACTTCCTGCATGCAGCTGGCTCACATAGGCTATCGTCTGGTCATGATTCTCTAGATTCTAGAGTTTGGAACTTAACAGAGGCAAGGGCCTCACTTAAATCCCCATGGTCTTCCTTCTACAGAAAGGCAATTCCACAAACTACGACTCTGTATTTGGGAACTGGTTCTGCCCAGCAGGCAGCAAGCAAGGCAGTAGAAGGTGAATATAACTGTGGGAGCCTATGCTAATTAGTCGTATTTTATACCATTTATGTGTTTAACATAAGACGTAATGGTATACTTTTTATTCTGAGCTTTTTAAAAGAGTACAATTTCAATATTTGGTTTCTAGTTCCTTAGAATGACCTATATGACTTATATGAAATCACTTGGCTTTTTTCTTTAAAGAGTGGTATATAGGCTCGGCGCCTATAGCTCAACCGGCTAAGGCGCC